GACAGTGAATTTTAAGTCACTGATTTTAGTTAAGTCAGTTTTGAGAGCTGTTTCTTGTCCCTGGAGTTGTCTGGAATTTTTGAGACAAATCAGAGCCTTGTTGAAGCTTTTGAATTTTCAGATTGTTCATATTTTTTGTGAAGCAAACGGAGTTGCTGATAGAAAACGAAAAACAGAGGATTTTTCAGTGGATTTAGAGTTGCCTTGTGATGTTCGTGTTGCTCTGTCAAATGACCAATTGGGTCTGCCCGTTTTGCGCAAAAGGAGGAGGGTTGCATTGGATGATAAGGGCTAACTGGTTTTTTTTTGGGTTGCTGTTCTTCTACTTTTTGAGTTTTTGATGATGCTGATTTCTTTCCAGAAACAAAGAAGATGGCTGAGGCAAGTTGCTAGAGTTTTTGCTGGCCAGTTTTTGATTTATGTAGAAGTTTTTATTGCCATTTTACTTTTGAAGGATTAAAGCCAACTATGATTTTTTTTTTTTTTTTTGTTAAAACCTGCTTCATTTGCTTCGTGTTATTTTGGTTTTATATTAATAAAATTTTCTTTCCTTTAAAAAAAAAAAACAAGTAGATAACTTTTGACAATGAAATGATACTGTTGACCATGAAACCCTTATTCAATCATAATTTTATCTTTAAAGATGTAAATTGACTTCAAAATATAATAATTTTACTTTTAAAGTTGTAATTTTTGTCAATTAATTATAATTTTATATTTAAAAGATGTAAATTAACCTCAAAAAATAGTAATTTTATTTTTAAAGTTGTAATTTTCGTCACTTTTTCAATTATAATTTCTACTGCAAAAAGTTATAAAATTGCCCAAGAAAGTCATTGGTTTTTTTCTTTTAGGCTTTAGCCAAGATTGCCCAAGAACCCGTTGATCCTTCAAACCCAGCCCATTCCAATCCGACTCGACCCGACCGTACAACGAATACCCTTCTAAACGCCAAATTGCAACCCTAGTTTGTTTTTGTGCCTTCGTTTCATCTCTCTCTCTCTCCAGAGATACCTGAAATCTAACTCTATTGAGAAGGTTAGAAGGTTGCTCTTGAAGCAACACGGTACTCTCTTTTTCTCTCTAAAGCTCGCTTTCTCTTTCTTTCTATCAAAAATTAGACATGTTTGTTAGACTCACCGAAAAGTATTATTGTTGTAGCATTACAATATCTAGGATTTCGCCGATTCTTCACAGAAAAGAACCCAACAGAAATACATTCCGTTCCATACCTCAAAGCCCGAGCACCTATAACAATCCTTTTTTTCATATTCACTTCTCCTTTTAAAATAAGGTTTTTGGTTTTGTATACGTATTGTTATTTTATTACAGGGTTCATTGAATTGGACTCAGTGTTTCAATAATTAAAGTTAATCAATACTTGGAGAATTCAGGTTCTTACTATTGGCATATGTACTGGGTTTATTGAGTTTGGGTAGTACTTGAAGAATTCAAAATCAGCTTTTGCTATATTCCTATCTGGGCTTGCATTAGAACCAAGAGTTTCAAGTTCTCTGTTTTTATATATACTCTGTGGTTACAAGTACAGTAGTTTTGGTCGATTGAATATTGCTGGAGAAATGGGTGATTTTGATTGTGGAAGGATTCGAAACATATGCATTCTTGCACATGTCGATCATGGCAAGACTACTCTTGCTGATCACCTGATTGCTTCCTATGGGGGTGGAGTACTCCACCCCAAGCAAGCAGGTAGGCTTAGGTTTATGGATTATTTAGATGAAGAGCAGAGGCGGGCAATAACAATGAAAAGCTCTTCTATTGCTCTTCGGTACAAGGAGCATGCGATAAATTTGATAGACTCTCCAGGTCACATGGATTTTTGTAGTGAGGTCTCCACTGCTGCTCGGTTGAGTGATGGAGCTTTGATTTTAGTGGATGCTGTCGAAGGTGTTCACATTCAAACCCACGCGGTCATGCGCCAAGCTTGGATTGAGAAGCTTACACCATGTTTGGTTCTAAATAAGATTGATAGGCTGATTTGTGAATTGAAGCTGAGTCCTCTGGAGGCATATAGTCGGCTGCAAAGGATTGTTCATGAGGTTAATGGGATCATGAGTGCATACAAGTCTGAGAAGTACTTATCAGACGTTGATTCAATTCTTGCTGGACCATCAAGTGAGGTGGGTGATGAAAATCATGAGTTTATAGAGGATGATGAGGAAGATACATTCCAACCGCAGAAAGGGAATGTTGCTTTTGTATGTGCATTGGATGGTTGGGGTTTTGGTATTGGTGAATTCGCAGAATTTTATGCTTCTAAGCTTGGTGCAAGTTCAGTTGCTTTGCAAAAGGCATTATGGGGTCCTCGGTATTTCAACCCCAAGACTAAGATGATTGTGGGCAAGAAGGGAATCAGTGGGGGAAGTAAGGCTCGGCCTATGTTTGTGCAATTTGTGCTTGAGCCACTTTGGCAGGTTTATCAGGCTGCTGTGGATGAAGATGGGGACAAAGGAGTGCTCAAGAAAGTTATTAAATCATTTAATCTGTCTATACCTCCTCGTGAACTTCATAACAAGGACCCAAAATCTGTGCTTCAAGCTGTCATGAGCCGGTGGCTTCCATTGTCAGATACAATTTTGTCTATGGTTGTCAAATGTATACCTGACCCAATTGCTGCCCAGTCTTCTCGGATATCACGTTTGCTGCCAATCAGAGAAATTGTGGATGATGGGGTTAGCTCTGATGTGATCACTGAGGCAGAACTTGTGAGAAAATCTATTGAGGTTTGTGATTCCAGCCCTGAAGCACCATGTGTTGCTTTTGTGTCTAAGATGTTTGCTGTTCCATTGAAAATGCTGCCAAAAAGGGGCTTAAATGGAGAGATTTTACAGAATTCTACAGATGACGGTGGAAATTGTGAGTCAGATGAGTGCTTCCTTGCATTTGCAAGAATTTTTAGTGGGGTTATTTGCTCAGGGCAGATGGTCTTTGTGCTTTCTGCTCTATATGATCCATTGAAAGGGGAATCAATGCAGAAGCACCTGCAGCAAGCTGAGTTGCATTCCTTGTATCTTATGATGGGTCAAGGCTTGAAACCAGTGGCCTCTGCAAAGGCTGGGAATGTTGTTGCTATTCGAGGCCTTGGCCAGCATGTATTGAAAAGTGCAACTCTTTCATCTACAAAGAACTGTTGGCCTTTCTCGAGTATGGTTTTCCAGGTTGCACCCACTCTAAAAGTTGCCATTGAGCCTTCTGATCCAGCTGACATGGGAGCACTCATGAAAGGGTTGAGGCTTTTGAACCGTGCTGATCCATTTGTAGAAGTCACTGTTTCTTCTAGGGGCGAGCATGTGCTTGCTGCTGCAGGTGAAGTTCATCTTGAGAGATGCATTAAGGATTTGAAGGAGAGATTTGCAAAGATTAGCCTGGAAGTCTCTGCACCCCTTGTGTCTTATAAAGAGACTATTGAGGGTGAGGGAATAAATCCATTAGAGAATCAAAAGTGGTTAAATGGGAGCTCAGACTTTGTGGAGAAAACAACACCCAATGGAAGGTTTGTTGTTCGAGTGCAGGTCATGAAGCTTCCAACCGCGCTAACTAAGCTGGTTGATGAAAGTTCTGATCTTCTTGGAGATATTATAGGTGGTAAACCAAGGGAGACTTGTAAAAGCTTAGAAATACAGAGGGGTAGCATCTTGGAAGATGATGATCCAGTTGAAGGGCTTAAAAAACGCATGATGGATGCTGCATTGAGTGATAATCTGGCTGGGAATGAAGAGTTAGACACAGAATGGGCTGAGAAATGCAAAGTATTGTGGCAGAAATTTTTTAAGAGGATCTGGGCATTGGGGCCTCGACAGGTTGGTCCAAACATCCTCCTCGTGCCGGACTCAGAAGGAAAGATTACTGATTCTTCTCTTCTTATTCGGGGCTCCCCTTATGTATCTGAGAGATTAGGTTTCGTGGATGCATCCAGCATTGATTATGCAGCAGCTGAGGCATCATCCGTAGCACCTCAACCCTTGTACCAGGAAGCAGAGAGTAGTGTTGTGTCTGGATTTCAATTAGCTACAGCAGCTGGCCCTTTGTGTGAGGAACCTATGTGGGGCATGGCATTTGTTGTTGACGCTTATATTTCGCCATTGGTTGGGCAATTAGATGAATCTGAAACTTCTCATCGGCAACAGGATCAATATGGCATCTTCACTGGACAAGTTATGACAGCTGTCAAGGATGCCTGCAGGGCAGCTGTACTTCAGAAGAAACCTCGGCTTGTGGAAGCCATGTATTTCTGTGAATTGAACACCCCTACTGAATATTTGGGCCCTATGTATGCAGTGCTTGCTCGGAGGAGGGCCCGAATCTTGAAGGAAGAAATGCAGGAAGGGTCTCCTTTGTTCACTGTGCATGCTTATGTGCCAGTTGCAGAAAGCTTTGGGTTTGGAGATGAGCTGAGGAGATGGACTTCTGGGGCATCAAGTGCTCTTCTTGTTCTCAGCCATTGGGAAGTACTTCCTCATGATCCTTTCTTTGTGCCCAAAACAGAAGAGGAGATAGAAGAGTTTGGAGATGGTTCTGGTGTCCCAGTGAATACAGCAAGAAAACTCATTGATGCAGTGAGACGGCGGAAAGGCCTTCCTGTGGAGGAAAAAGTTGTCCAACATGCAACAAAACAGAGGACCTTGGCTCGTAAGGTCTAGAAGTTGCTAATCCAGTAAATTGTGAGCATATACATCTCTTTTTCATTTTAGGCAATAGGATAGAGACCAAAACATCTGTCACTCTTTAGCATGAGTTGAAGTTTGGTATCTTTTTCTTCTTCAATTTAAGGCAGTCTGGTTACAAATGGTTCTGAAGCAAAGAAATGATTAGGCTCTTTTGAGTTCTCTATTGATGTACGAACAAACTTCTTGGTCTCAATTTTAGAAGTTTTGGATACTTGTAGATCATGTCTTTCATGTACATCTGAACGCTTCAGCTGCAGAACTCAAAACTTATTTGACAATTGTGAATTGCTAATAATGTTAGTTGAAATAAGTTTAATCCCTTGGATTGTCTATGACGCCATAGGCGAGCAATGCTGTTGACTTCTTTTGTTGATGTGCATGTACATGAATTGATTTCACTGTAAGTAACCTTACAATCTACCCAAAAAGGAAAAAAGAGAAATTCACGCCATTAAGGTTGTGGTTGATTATTCAGAGCCAGAATATTTACGATTAAATGTACCATGTTCCTTCTTTGCTCTCTGTCCTGACTCTGTTTCTTTGTTCGATACTCTCTTTTCACATACCCCTCCTGAACTTGTTAAAATACAATTAGGGTAGGAGAATCTTATCCAAAACCCCTTCTGGTACATGTAATTTCAACCTGACTTCTAGAGTTGATTTTCATAGTATGGTTGAAGAGGTATTTGAAAGGATAGCATTTAATGTAGTCTGTAACTACTGCAAGTGATGCATACGTAAACCCTAACCCATTGCTTCGAACTTGCTGTACAATTTCTACATAAGCCTGATTTACGAGATGTTTTCCAGAACCAATCCCTGACAAGTGGATGAGAAATTTCATTTTTATTTTCATTGAGATTCCTCTGCTCACCTGAGTTGATCCACCATTGCATGTAACAGCATCATGTTAAATATCGTCAAAACTACAATCATTCTCATAAGGACACATCTTCCTTAATTATTACGGTTAATACACGAGTTTAATTGAATGTCATGATTCTTATTAATTTGAGCTGGAGAAGAAAAAGTAGCAGGAAGTGCTCAATGGTGAAGATTAAAGGAGCTTTAAGTTAGGCTTTGGGTGCAAGACCTACCTTGAGCTTCTGAATGGTGGCAACGTCGGTCTTAAAAGCCTTGGCAAGGATTCCATCTTCAACTCCAGTGGCAAACAGAGTTGTTGGAAGTGACACTGTTCCGGTATTTGCACTACCAAAGGCAGAGAGCTGTAGCGGGCTCTTTGGCATTGGCATTGCATTGATAGTGAACTAGTCCTTTAGGAAACACAAACATGTCCCCTAGTTGTAGTGTTTGAGTGTAGAATTTGTTAGCAGTATCAACAAAACCAACCTCAAGACTACCTTCCACAACAAACAGTAACTCTGGCTTCACGTGGATGGGTGTGAGGCGGGTCCACCCACCGGTACTGGAGAACAGCAAGTGAGACACTAGCCACTGAGAGCTGGGAACTCTCCCGTGCTAGCTTTTGTCACCTTGAAATTCTGTGGCGGTTGATTGAATATTCCACACATCCTGGTGAAGGTAAAGAAATTCCCTTCAACTGCATTCGGGTTTGCCAGGACCATGAAGTCGGATAAGATGTCTGGATCCCTTGCTTGGACCATCCAAGCAGTGGCAGAGAGAGCTAGAAGGCACATAAGAAAATGTTTTACCAAAATTGATGGGTAAGGAATGAGACTTCAAGTTTACTGGTAATGATTAATTAGCTTACTTTGACTTTCAATTTATAATGTTTGGTTGTTTGGCTTTGTTCCTAATGAGCTCCAATTTGCAGGTTAAGTGGCCGGCTGGGGCTTGATGTTCACAAAGTTTGGTGCTATTGAATAGTATGGGAATAAGCTTCTAAATCCACAGGAATTATCAGTTGTCGATTACAAGTTATGAGAGCTTGAAGAGGATGGAGTTTTATGGACTCAGTAAAACAATGTTCATCTTAAAATCTTCTTGGGTAATGACTTTTAACTCTTATGCCATTTGTTAGCCAGAAAATAGAACGCATTTACCAGTCGAAGTTCGAAAATCATGGTATGAGGTAATTTCTTTTTGGACCATTCACTGAACTTTTTTAGGTGACAGGGAAATATCCCGACACGCGTCTTTTAAACTTATAACTGCGAAGGAATTCATGGATGCACGCAGTAACTTGAAAACCATGCACATGGGTTAAATCAAATGTGCTTGCTTCCCCTAGTTCGAACAATGAACCAAATCATTTGGGTTTCATGCAATGAACTTAAATAGACAGGAAATCCACATTTCAGAATTTGTATCATGAAATACATAGTGGCACAGAAACGAACATTCTGTTACTTGTATCATTCTTGATATCTTCCACTAGCCAAAGGACAATATCAAACAACTTCAGCAAGAGTGACGTTGTTTCCAGAGGCAATTGTCATCTATTCAGCAGGCCTAAAAAGAAGTTAATATTGTTTACCTAAACTACTGATAGAAATTCTAGTCACTCTACATTCTACAACAAAAGGATCGAATCGAGCTGATGATCTTGTAGAACCAAACAAAGGGATTGAATCGAGTTTAGTTTGAGTGTTCATTGATTGGGTGCCCTTGATGCAACGCTGGAATTGGTTATTGCAAAAATCTGAAAGGCTTGAAGTAGATTTATGTTATTTCAATAAGTTCAATTGCATGTCTTTGATAACAATGCCAGCAACATAATAAAGTTGAGCTGAAAAGTTTTCATCCTGCTTGATATCCATGTCAAGTTATGATCTGCTTCTCAGTATAACAAGCTTCAGTAGCCGACCATTTAGTAAATATAAATGGAGGATTAAGTTCATAAGTTATAAATAAGTTCTGATCTATATGATTTATAGACTGAAAAAAGTTTCAACATGATACAAGAACATGTCCAGGAAGCCCAACTTCAGAAATTACTAGGTCACAAAAATGATAAATAAAGAACAGATCATATGCTTTGAGCATGTAAACATTTGTTCCTATTCGCATCGAGTTTCTTCTAATCGTTTTCTTTGTTTTAAACAGCATACCATCAGTCCATGCAAAGAAAAAACAACAAAACTCAGATTTCATTAGCTATTAACAATAAAAAAGGACTGTTTGTCAGAATGAAGTACATTAAAACATCATTTAAAAGAAGGGTTAACTGTCATTTGGACCATCCTGTCCATATAATGACTTCAACTCCATAATCGACATCTGTATAATCTGGAGCTCCTCCTCCATCTTGTCAGATACAAAGCATGATTGGCATGTAAATTCCTCCAATAGCTGGGTCTTTCTCCTAGACGCTATAGCTTTTGCAGTTTGCAACTCTTCTATTCTTCTCAGCTCCATATCTAATTCTTCCTCCAAGATCTTCATCTCTTCCTCTTTCAATGCTGCTTCAAATACACCTTGGTGGTACTCCAGAATCATATTTTCAACTTCATTCCTTCCATTCTCTTTCATTTCCAATACCATATCTCTCTCTTGGATGACACTACCAAGCCTGTGTTCCATCTCCTCCACAGATTTCAAACCTTTCTGTATCTCCATTTGAACAACTTGAATTTCCCTATCCACCTTCCCAAGTTTCCTGTCTAAATCTTCAACTTCCCTTCTAAAGACCACAAGCTTTTCTTGAGCTTGCTTCACTTCTGTTTGTAGCTTTGTTTTCTCTTCCTCAGACTTTAGTAACTCGGTAGCTTTACCACTCAAAGGCCAGTTCTTTTGTGCAGGGTGAATATCTGTTTTCTCAACATTATCTATGGCAAAGAGAACCCTTTCATTCTCTTGTCTTCGGTTTTCTTCTTCTATTCTGGATATCCAGTCCACGAGGTTGCGTTTTAATTCAACCTGAGTTTGTTGAATTTTCATCTGAGCAACCTCAATTTCATATTTACGTGTTTGAAGAGAGGTCAGTTCCTCTTTCTTTCGGTTTAAATAAGCTGATGAAGCATCTACCCTTGCCCTTGCTTGAGCTTCACGCTGTTCAAAGTAACCAATTGATGAAGAAAAGTTGGATAATGAGTATTTCAGTGCCCTTAACTTTTTATCCATCACATCCCTTCTTTCTTGCATCTCAGAAGAAAGGAACTGGGACGATGCACACTCCTGCTGCATCAACTGCATACCAGTTTCTAATGCTTCCATTTCTATTGAAAGTTTATCAACCTCAATGCTTGCCCTCTCGAGTGAACCAAATATACTGATAGTTTGGGCAGAACTTAGAAGCTTTTCTTGTGCTTTGTCAAGCTTCATTCTGACCAATTTTAGATCATGTGGCTGCTTTACTCTAACGACACCAATTGACTTTGCATCCATCCCCTGATCATTGTCACCATTCTGATCCCCAGCATTAATATGAAGATCCTCAGGACAATGGCTGGACCCATCCCGTTCATTCAATCCAGGGAAACAAGTTTCCTCCATCATGTAACCTTTATCAACTACTGTGAGTTTTCCTGTCTCACTGCTTTCAGCTCTATCTTGCACATTGAAGTCTGAGTAACCACTCTCTATAAATTTTTTTGGTTCCAAACTGCTAGGAGACTCTTGTAACTCAAGATAATCATTTATTTCTGACTTTCCAGAACATTGGATGTACCCAGTCTGTACATTCGCTGCAAATAAATTAGTTTCATCCAATGCGATTTCTGACTGACCATGTTCAGCTAGATTCTCTAACTGAAGATCTTCCCTTTCACTGAGCACAAGTGGTCCAAATGCAGAAGATTCATCAGATTTGTGACGCTCCTCTCCATCAACTTCAACAAGCTTTTCTGCACAATCAAATCCTCCTTTATTTTCAACAATCCTCTGTCCACCAGAAGCAAGAATCTTCTTAAATTCATCCCTCTCTTGCATGGCTTTCTCGTACAGACTCATTAATTTCTCATTCTCTTCATGCATTTCCATAAGCTGATGCTCTAAGTTCTCAACTTCCTTTTTCATCTCGGACTCCCTCCCCACAGCCAATTCAGTCAAGTCATTGTACTCATCCTCCGCTTTGTTTTCTTGAGAACTCTGAGCCCTATTACAGTTTTTATTATTCTCTTCTGCAGCTCGCTCATATAGTTCAATTAATTTATTGTTATCCTCAACCAACACCTTAAGCTTCATCCTGAGTTCATCGTTTTCTTTTGACAAGACAATTGCTGTTTCATGAGCTTGTGCTTCTCTTTGGCTTGCAGCAGCTATTGCATCAACCATAGTTTTAAGCTCAGTCTGATCATTAAGAGCAATATTGGGCATCTGATCAGTTGTTAGAGAAGGAAGGTCGATTTGCAACTTTTGTGTTTCTTCCTTCATGGCCACTTTGGAGGATCTCTCTGCTTCTAGCTTTGTTTCCAAGTTTTTAACATGCCTGCAAAATTTCTTTATTAGAAGACAATGGGGCCCTGGAGGAAGGCATCATTTTATTCAAAGCATCAACTGATAACAGCAAGAACCCGGCATTTGTGATTGACATCATTAAGCTGAATTTGGGACAACCAAATCTATGATTTAGAATTGGAAAGGAGCCAGAGTGGTTTAAAACTTGAAGAAATGTTGCTCCAATTCCAATTCCAATTCCATAGCATAGTGCGCCTTTTCACAAATTCGGACTTACTGTCTTCTAAGGGAGGGAAGCACCGTCAGATAAGAATACAGCAGGATAAGGAAACACTGAATATCCAGATCAAGAAATATGAGAATTTTTCATGGCTAGACAACAATCAGAAAACATGGATAGAATCATTATAGGAATTGAACTATTACCTTTCCAGTTTATCTTTCTCATCAATGCAGAGATTGAGTTTCTTGCGAAGTGCATCAAGTTCTGATTGGTTTTGAATGGCCTGTGACATTATACAATTCTGCTTGTTTGTAAAGAAAACTAATGCAGATGTGAACACTTCTAGTACTGAAGCACCACCTTTTTTCCTTTAAGAAGGAACTTTAATACAAAGCAGCTATACCTGCATACGGAGGAACTCATTCTCCTCATTAATTGAAGTACGCCAAGGTGATGCTGGCTCCTGTTAAGGAAAAATATCACACATAAGCGAACATTTTTTTGGCAGCCAAGTATCACAGTACATTCTCGTCAGTAAAGGTCATGTGCTGGCATAAGAGCATAAAACTTTGCTGATTTAAAATGGTCAATAACATAGATGCATGGTTGACAAGAATGACAATAGCAGTAGTGCAAATAATGATGCTGGTGCTGATGTCTGTCTAAACCAAAGCTCTGAATGCATCAGTGGTTGCACCCATGTGAGGCAAGCACACTTTTGAGGGTTTGAACGATTGAACCTCCTCTTGTTGTGACATAATAAAAGGTGCTCCAGAGCATAATTTAGCAGAACTGACAGGTTACAGCCTCACCTATACAAGTTCATCTTACTATTTAATTTTCCTAACCTGACTTCCTTTGCTACATTACAAAAATTTTATAGAGGAATGAGCCAGGGTGGAGAACACAATTGTTTAGAAAATATCTTACCTGACTTGAAATCAATAGGCCATCACTCTGAATACCCATTGCCACCTCAGAACCTCCTTTCTGTAGCAGAAGAACATTGACTAATTTAGGTTAATTATATATGCTATAAACAATTTATAAACCTGACACTTGTATTAATAAAGCTTGGGAAGAACCTGAACAACCAAGGGATCTGGCTCATGCATTAGTTTCCAATCAAGAGCTTCGAGCAACTGCATGTCACAAGATAAGATCACAGACAAAGCAAATCATGACCCTTTAACTACATAAACAAGAGAACAGTGAACACATTGCAAGGATGTGAAATCTTAATTTTTGATCATCAACTTTTTGCACCTTATTTTGTAATATAGCAATCTGTTCATTCATTCTTTCCCGTTCGCCTTCCTCAGTAAATGTTTTCAACCTGCACTTCCGAGCATTAATAAGCAATCAGAAAGTAAACACAAAATTAGAAACCAGTAAGTTGTTCAATATATCTTACTAAAACCAACAAGTGCCTTAAATTCAATTTGACAAAAAAAAATCCGATTTTATTTGGAAACAATGTTGCATGGTTTTTGGTGATCAATTCTTAGTTGTAATATGTCCTATATCTGTGACCAGTTTATATCAGGGCAAGCATTTTGTATTGCACATTTTCTATCATGCCATAAAAAACATCTTATGTTGAAAAAGTATTTGAGCTTATATTGTTAAAATACCTTCGGATCTCTTCTTTTAGACGCAGATTTTCCATCGCAAATCTTGTTACTTCCTGGTTTCGATCTACCTGAGTGCGTAGGACCTCTATTTCCTTCAAGTGTTCCTCCTTTTCTTTTAACAAGTGTGTCTCAGCAGAGATCTTTCCAGAAGCAATTGCTTCTAGCCTCTTTATACCAGCTTCTCGGAACCTCAACCTCATTTTTAAGCCTTGTATCTCATCTTCTCTTTGTTTGGCCTGATTCACCAGAGATAACATATCAGTTCTTAAAACATGAATTCCAGATCAGGTCCTTTTTACTTGAAAAGTTGAGATTCCAAATGTTGAAAACTTTTTGAATCGAACATAATATGGTACAATAATTGATTTGGCTCTATGATCCTCTGCACATGATTAAATCTTGCAAGCCAACTACTTCCATTCATTAAAAAGCACTAGACCTTTCCTAGATTTGGAATAAGCAGTTTTTTTCCAAAAAAATAGCAAGCAGGCTTTTTATATTCTCACCTAACATTTTTAATATTAACAGTGACCAGAAGCATTTAGCATCAAACTAAACAAGTAGATTAATAAGCAATGAATCAGACATACCAGCTGCATGGCTGCCTGAGTTTCAGCAGCTAATGCCTGCAAGGCAATGTTTTTATCTTCCTCCCTTCTAAAAGCTCCAACAAGTGCAACTTCATATTCTTTCTTCTGAAGCAAACAAACTTAAAGTTAGACTAATGTCCAGCATTTCTTCCTGTGTTGTGGAAGGAAGGTACTTACATGTGACATCCTTTTATTAGATGTAAGAGGACTGAATGACCCATGACCTTCCCATTTAAAGGATCCCGGAGATCCTGGAAAAGATACTGTCCATGCGTCACTTTCATGGTTTTCAGCTCCTCCATTGACTACATTCTGCAGACGAGATATTTCTTTCTGGGGATAACACATTACATTTTGATTAACATTTCCAAATCACCAAATATCTATAACATTACACACTAAATAACTTGAGGGATTACTAGCTTATTCCCAATGAAAAAACAAAATTTTCTTGAATTCAATCATTGTTATAATTGATGAAAAGAGAATCTAACAACTACTCTCTTTGGAGCATTACAAGTATGTAATGTTTCCCAAATAAGTAAATAATAAATTCAACTGGTTAAATAGTTCTACAGTACAACAAATCGAAATTCAGAAAATTGCAGTTGTGATAGACAACCAAGAGAAGTATTGTCCAACACCACATGAATCATCCTTCAACATATTTCAAGTACATAATATGTCAAGATTGAAGAAAGACCCTTAATCAAATGGACACTTCAGGAAGTAGTGAACATAAAATGTCGTTATAGGCATAGAGGTATAAGATGCGAACAATCAGACAGTAACCAAGTGTATCTTGTGGACCATAAGTACAAATTTGTTTAGATTCATCCTTAGAAGTCCTAGGATACAGGCTTTTACCAGAGTGAAGGTCCCATGTTGAACTTAAACATGTCACATGGATGTGTCGCTTACTCTGACAAAGAAAATGTGTAAAAGCAAGCTATTTTACGATAATGTCATAACTCCATAATATAAATTGAAACTATAACAGTACGAAGCATCTGATTTTTGGAAGGGGAAAACTTAAATCGTGGATAATACCTTGAGTTGTTGAATCTGTATCCTCATTGCAAGGACATCTCCAGAGGCATCTTCATTCACAATAGCCTGAACAGGGAAAAACAGATAGGAGAGCTTTCAATTAGCCATACTCAAATATAACTGTTAAAAGAGGAAATAACCAAAAACATTCAGTCATTCTACTCCAAAGGAGTAAATCAACGACGTTAGAATCTTCTTTCTGAAGTCCTCAAAAAAAAAAGTGTTAGAGTCTCATCCCACTTAATATATTAAAAATGCACGAGCCTCTCATCCTACTCCTCATGCAAAGAGGCCATTTATGTGACTTACAATGGAACAACCTTACAATTGCGCCAAGGCCTGCACTCCCACTTAATCTATTACATGCTACATAAACTTTTTAAGAAAAATAAGAACAGATAGTTCTATGCTTTCGGAATGATGAAGTTCAAATACTAACCCATCAGAATGCATCCACTTACTTTCGTATAATGGACATGAATTTAAATTTACAAATTAAAAAGCAAGATGACATACATGATTTTTAATGAATTTAGCACGTTGGGCAAACTTCAGTGTGCTCAAAGTCTCCAGTGAACAGCTGCAAGGGCCAAATAATTGTCATGCATACATATAAGCAACAAAGGAATATTGTTAAACACACAGAAATATAGCGGCCATGAATGCAATCAAATAAATTTCAACTCTTGCAGAACCATAGTGATTTGAAATAAAAAAAATAAAAAATAAAGATTTCATAAACTTTACAATAATTTAGGGGGAATCAGCATACAAAATAATGCCATTTTGATGGTATAAACTTTCATGAACATAGATTTCAAAAGTTCAATTTTTGGACAAAAGTCACAAAACCGTCAATCCAAAAGATCAAAGCAAGTAGCAATGTGAGTTATAGAATAAACTAACCAACTAGAGGGACTAATATTTGCAATGATAATTGTTTTTGCATTCCCTCCCAATGAGTCCTGAAAAGAGAGGAAGGAAGATGAAAATGTCAAATATATTCTACCTTATTGCAAGTTTTTAGATAAATACAAGGAGTAAGGACCTCCCAGTAACAAACTACTTGCATAAGAGCAGACATACGCTACAGCAAGTACACAAACACTGTAAGACACTAAAACTTCCAAATAAATTTTGTAAGAAAAAAGAAGACAAGGTTGGAAAAGTAAAACTTTTTCCCAATCAATACTATGCCCATGAGTAGGAAAAAGTGTTCACATGGATGGTATCATTTGTACTGCAAAAAGAAATAGAAACACTATTGACTTTCAGTTACTATTTACTAAAGGTTCACATAACAAATTGATTCTTCTGCGTGTAGAAGTCCTATAAGCCCTGATAACTGCTCTTCTGAACTATTGCCGAAACATGATTGAGACAGGACTAACATAACTGTAAGGCACATTGTTGTTGAGATTCCAGATGTGAATGTAAATTTGCTAAAGCAGATTTTAAAATGTATTCATATTTTTTTATGATCCATGAGAAACTACTCACCTGAAGCAAAAATGTCAGCTTTGAATCCCGGTAAGGAATATGAAGTGATTTCCCATTAGACACACTCACAAGATTCATAATCACCAGTCTGAATATCTCAAATAAAAAAATTAATAGATTAATAAAAAAGGAAAAACAAACCATATTACAACATACAAGAAAAACAAAAATTATTCAGAATAAACTTGATTATCTACTTATACAGAATCTAGGATAAATGTAGGAATAACAAACCCCAATGTCGAAAGAGACTTGTTGATGTTCGTAGCTTCCTTTAGGCGTTCACCTTCCGCACCAGAACTCTTCTGCCTGTGATTCAAAAAGGAATATAACAAGCTACATGTTAAAAAATTTATATGATGTCA